TGTCTTGATGAGGAGGAGGATGCAATTTGGGCCACTTGATTGTCCAAAATCTTCAAGTGAGCTTGTACTCCCTCCAATTGCTTCTTGAATGCAACTTGCTCATTTTCAATGCTCCCAATGGATACTCCTTGTGATTTTTGACCTTGGAGGATTTGAAATAGCATATCCTTGATGTCCGAGTCTTGATCCTTGGGTTGCACTTGCTGTGGTCTATAGTTGGAATTTCCTTGGTAACCTTGACTCCCTTGACCTTGTTGTTGATACTTTGATTAAAAACCCGGAGGTCCTTGATTGCTCCGTTGAAAAGCGGGATGAGGATTTAGCGCGTTTGACGCGTTCTTGTAGGAGAAATTGAGATGATTCCTCAATCCCGGGTTGTATAGGTTGGATGGATGAGTGTATTGGTTTTGGCTGACATAGTTGGCCTCTTCCGCTTCTTGATCAATCATATACATACCCGGTTGAACTTGCGCTACCTTGTGATCCTCCACAACAGCTACTTGTTTGGCATTCGCAAGTTGGACCTTTATCTCCGCAAGGTCGGCTAGCACCGCCTTAAGAGCTGCGTTGTCACCCACATCTCCTTTCACTGAGCTTCTCCTACTGAACTCATTGGACGTGTGGCTACGTCCTTTGGCCAGTTTTGCTGTTGTTGCTTCCAATTCTTGGAAAGGGATGTCATATATGTCACCTCCACACGCTGCATCAATCCAAGACCGAGGCTGAACTCATTGGATGTGGGGCTACGTCCTTTGGCCAGCTTTGCTTGTGTTGCGTAACATTATTGGAAACGGATGTCATATATGTCACCTCCACACGCTGCATCAATCCAAGACCGAGTATCATCCTTCAACCCATGGATAAAGATGGATAGAAGGTAATCTCTTTCCATTCCATGGTGAGGGAACATTCTTTGATATTCCTTGAAGCGTTCCCATGCATCATGGAGATTATCCCCATCCTCTTGCACAAAAGCATTAATCCGATTCCTCGCATGTTGAGTCTTGGTAGGAGAATAGTATTGCATAAGGAACTGCTCTTCCATCTCATCCCATGTGGAGATAGAGTTTGGCTCAAGAGTGTAGAGCCAATCTCTAGCTCTCTCCGTAAGCGAGTAGGGGAAAGTTTCGAGGAATACGTCTTCAAGAGTAATCCCCGGTCCCTTCTTGATTGCCTTACAGTTCATCTTAAAGTTCGTAAGGTGAGCATTCGGATCCTCGTTTGGTCTCCCACGGAAACTCATATTGTTGAGCATTTGAATACATTGCGGTAGGAGTTCAAAATCTTCTAGAGGTCTCCGGATGATGCATGACAGTAACTGAGTGTGCTTCGGTTGTGTGTATGTTCGAAGCGTTCTAGGGGCTGCTTGGGCTGGACCTCTATGGGCATTGGCCCACCGACCCATCCAGACCCCAACTACCATGCCCCCCCTATTGTGAGGGAAAAATGGGGTAATTTTTCACCTTCCTAGTCCTTTTCTTTTTTCTCGTTCACATGTGTTCACAGGTTCACACACGGACGAGGAAACACGCCCACACGGACAAGGAATGGCCGAGAAGCTTCCTTAGCGGGTCACAGACCACGGACGACCTCGGACCACCATGCCCCGACGTCCCAACACTCTCCCAGACCTCCAGGACATGTCCAGACCACGTCCATGCCAAGGCCACAACCGGACCAAGCTTTGACCCGAGACTTACCTATTTTGGTCGCATATGGCCCATGACGAGTTCTTGGGCGTGTGCTGCCATCCTTGGTGGTTTGGGCTCGGGCCAAAGCCCATTTAGATGTTCTAGAGTGTTCTTAGATAGGTTTAGGCAAGTCCTAGAGCGTCCTTTTTCGTTTTGGGCAAGTAAGGACCGAAAAGGAAGATTAGGGGAACGAAATTGTGAACTTTCCATTTTTGATCTTTTGGCCAACCTTAATAAATAGAAGGCTGATCAGAAGTGGGAAGGCATCTCGTTTAATCCCCAAATCTCGCCCTAAGGTTTCTGAAAACCCTAGCTTCGCCGGTTCTTCTTTGGCTCTCCGTCGTCGGCTCACAAACCGCCGCCGGACCCTCCCTTGTACGAACCGCACGTCGCACCCTTGTTCCCCTTTTCATTATTAATAAACTAAGCCGCACCGAGCTCTCCCACGTCCCATACACGTCTGAGGCTCTCCCCTTGGCCTTGGCTGCCTCACGTGGTTCCTATCTCCACTCTGGACCCGTGACAATAGGGGGGCATGGTAGTTGGGGTCTGGATGGGTCGGTACGGTCGTGTATGTTCCCCCCCTCATACACGTTCGTGCCGACATGGGATGGTCCACGGGGCACCCTCCGAGACCAACCTACCTGGAGCACGGGGGGCTGAGGAACCCCGCGTCACGAGATCCCGTGCCCAGGCCCTTGCGGACGCAGCCGCAACCACTCACGCAACCGATGGAGGCGAGACGCAATCCCAACCCTTGGAGCCACGAGTCCAAGCCTTGGAGGATGTCTCGGCCAATCAGGATGCACGCATGGACGACCTCGAGCAGGAGATCTCCGCCATTGGTGACACAACCAAGGAGATGCTCTCGGACATGGAGCAGAGGACCCAAGCCGACTTGGACTCATGCGACGTGCAGATCCGGCTCTTGCGAGAGGACCATGACCGAGAGGTAAGTGACCTTCGTCGCTTAGTCAATGAACTAAAGCTTGAATGTCGTTTGCACAGGAACCAAGCAGCCCCTGCTCCGGTACCTCCCCCTGCACCGGTCCCAGCTCCAGCCCCAGCACCAGCCCCGGCTCACAACCACCTACCCATCAAGGTGGCCGAACCCTTCATCTTCAATGGGAACCGGAGTGCGTCTGTGGTGGAGTCCTTCCTGTTCACCTTGGACCAGTACTTTGAAGCCCTTGGTGTTGCCGACGACCAAGCCAAGATCCGACATGCTGCCACCTATCTCCGAGAAGTGGCCCAACTTTGGTGGAGGCGCTACCTTGCTGAACGCGAGCGAGGGGAACGCAAAATGGACACATGGGCTCAGTTCAAGGCTGAACTCCGACGCCACTTTGTCCCCACCAATGCAGCCGACGAGGCTCGGACTAGATTCCGACGTCTCCGGCATACAGGGAGTTTATTTGATTACATTCGTGATTTTACAGCATTACGTTTAGAGATGCATGACCTAACGGATAGAGATGCTCTATTTTACTTTAAGGATGGCTTGAAGGACTTTGCTAGGATGGAGGTGAACCGTAGGGACGCCCAAACCCTAGAAGAGGCCATCACGATTGTGGAGAGCATTCCGGAATACAACCAAAGCCGTCCCAACCAACCCTCGAGGAACCAAGGAGGTAACCGAGACGGGAACAGGCCAAGGTCTAACTTCCCGAGCCGAGACAACTCCCGGAACAGTGGGCCACCAAACTCACATGGTTCGGGACACGTTAAGGATCGGTCGAAGCCACCTAAGCCGTGTTTCCTCTGTGGTGGTCCCCATTGGGTCCGAGAGTGTCCCAAGAGAGCAAAGATCAACGCAGCCGAAGTTAGACCCGACAAAAGCAAAGGCAAAGGCAAGGAGAAGGAGACGGATGGAGACTCAGCCATCGTCGGATCCCTCCATAGGTTCAACACATTGAACAAGCCATCTTCAACCGAGAATGCCATAGCTTCCGAGTCACCTAACCGAGGCCTTCTCTATGCAGACATCGACATATACGGTAAGATAGTTCCTGCTATGTTCGATACCGGTGCTTCTCACAATTTTATGGATGTAGGTGAAGCCAAAAAGCTTAAGCTACGCTTAGACGGTAGTGGAGGTTCGGTTAAAGCCGTGAACTCTCCTGCACAAGCTGCTGTAGGTGTGGCCAAGGGAGTCCGAATCCAGATAGGAGATTGGATTGGGAAGACCGACTTCACGGTCTTGCCCATGGATGACTTTCGAGTTGTCCTCGGACTCACCTTTTTCCGTTCGGTGAGCACCTTCATCCCCGCAGCCACCTCCTCACTCGTGATTGTGGACAAGGACAAGCCAACATTTGTCCCTCTACGACCAGCCCCGAGAGACTCCACAACTCTCTCGGCCATGCAATTCAAGAGAGGTGTCAAGAGCTCGGAGTGCTTCATTGCAACCGTCCGAGACTTAAACGACGAGGAACCCTCGTGTCAAACTCATGTCCCGAGCGAGGTACGTTCTCTTTTGGATTCTTATGCAGATGTGATGCCCTCGGATCTTCCCAAGAAGCTTCCACCGAGGAGAGGAGTGGATCATGCTATCGAGCTCATTCCCGGGTCCAAACCACCGGCCATGGCCCCGTACCGAATGGCTCCTCCCGAGCTAGCCGAGCTCAAGAAACAACTAGAGGACCTCCTAGACGCAGGCTACATACAGCCTTCCAAGGCCCCTTATGGTGCTCCCGTCCTCTTCCAAAAGAAGAAGGATGGCTCCCTTCGGATGTGCATAGACTACCGAGCCCTTAACAAGGTAACCGTGAAAAATAAGTATCCCATACCTTTGATTGCGGATCTTTTTGATCAGCTTAGGGAAGCCCGAGTCTTCTCCAAGCTTGATTTACGTTCGGGCTATTACCAAGTGAGAGTAGACGAGGGAGATGAGGCCAAAACCGCGTGCGTCACTAGGTATGGTTCCTTCGAGTTCAAGGTAATGCCTTTCGGCCTAACCAATGCTCCGACTACGTTTTGCACGATGATGAATGAGTTATTCCATCCATATCTAGATAGGTTTGTGGTCATATATCTAGATGATATTGTTGTGTATAGCAAAACTTTGAGTGAGCATGTAGGTCACCTCAAGCTCGTCTTGGATGTACTTCGGGAGAACGAGTTGTACATCAAGCTCGAGAAGTGTGACTTCGCCCAACCACAAGTGGAGTTTCTAGGTCATTATGTGAAGGACGGACAGCTCCTCATGGACCCGAAGAAGATCAAATCCATCCGAGAATGGAATCGACCCAAGACCGTCCCACAACTACGGTCCTTTCTTGGCCTTGTCAATTATTATCGCAGATTTATACTTGGCTACTCATCCATTGCAGCACCTCTTTCGGACATGCTCAAGAAGGACAAGAAGTGGGATTGGACCGACAAATGCCAAGCCGCGTTCGACAAACTTAGAGACATTGTCTCGAGTGAACCAGTTATGACATTGGCGAACGTCGATCAGCCCTTTGAGGTACATTCCGATGCCTCGGACTATGCTATTGGTGGTGTTTTGATGCAGGACAATCATCCCGTGGCGTACGAGAGTCGGAAACTCAACGATGCCGAGAAGAAATACACCGTCCAAGAGAAGGAAATGACGGCCATTGT